AATACCCTTTTAATAAAAATTTTATAAAATTCTTGTAAATATTCATATGGAACAACTTCCTACTTTTGGATACGCCAACAAAAAATGCATACATTACTATAGGACAGCTTAAAAAATATAGAGTAACTTGACAGAATTGATCGCACAAAATGAATCTCGATCATAAGTGCAGTAAATAAAGAACAAGATGAAAACATTTTCTATGCTCATTTAAACTTTTAACATCTATAAAGAAATTAAGTAGAGGCCAACTTCAAGCAGACATAATAATTCAGCCTAAAATTTTTTATGCTCAATTGAACCTTCTACAATTGCAATGAAGATGTCAGGGAAATAATACCAAGACAAAGAAATTCCATATATAAAATTCTACCCAACCCATCTCACAGAGAAAAAAAATCTACATAAAATTTATGCATCTCATTTAGAACCACATCACCCTTCTTAGATTTTATTACCTCCAAAATGCTTCCAAGAACATCACTTGCAAGTCCAGCTTTTAAAATACTCCCAGGTTCCTCTCCACCATCATGTATTGACTTCCCAATCTCTTTCAATGTGACTACAAACACTCTCTGTTATTACTTTTGCAAAAATACGCCAAGAAACTCTGCTGCTCTGGGGGTTATTGTTAACATCATCTTCTAATGTAGTGAGAACAAATTCAAACCTAGCTAGCATAAAAAGGAATATCTATCTGGTGCATTTCATCAAACAGTTTAAGCACAACTTGGTAATACTCACACTTCGCATACAAACACATAAACGCTTTTGCAACAAAAACAGAGTCCAAATGCTCGCTTTTGATTATCGCTTCATGTATCTGAAGACCCAATTGAAGATGCAAAATTCGAAGGCAAGCAGTTAAAACAACAATAAAGGTGTATTCATTGGGGGTCAATAGAGGAACTTGTCATCTGAAAGAAGAGGTACAATGCTTCTTGTTCTCGATGGGACTTGGAAAACCCAGAAATTAAAGCACGGTAAGAGACACGTGGAGGAAGAAGAGGTCATCGAGAGTTGAATCAGGAAAAGGGGTTTGTGGGGTTGAAACGAAATGGGTTTGTGAGGAGTGAAGGGGGTAGTTGAATTATTATTTTTTGAATTAAAAGTGCAGAACATAAAGGGATGACAACGTTAACGGCGACGACGACGGCAATGCTGCTCCGGTGATAGCAGAAGGCTGATGGTGGCAGAGGGAGAAGAGAAGTGAGGGTCGAACGTGAATGAGTAAGAGAAGGGTAGAAAGGGAAGAGAAATATGGAACTATTATTTTGATGTATTAAGAGATTATGATGTATAAGCTTATACAATACGATGGTCTCAACAAACAACTGATAATATCATAATGTATAGTATAAGTTTATACAATCAGGCCTTATATGTCGCATCAAACATGCTCTAAAGGAATTATAGAAGCTAGCATAGCTTGCCCTAAGGGCGGCTATGCTATATATACGTGAAGTGCAGACCTTTGTATGATGGGCTCACTGCTATTTTGTGGAGCCCAAATTATGAGCTTAGGTTGCTTGATGGAGTGGGTCATTAACCTGCATCCATAACAAGCAACAACATACTCTTGAATTTTACTTAGAAAATAGATGGGTAATACTATATTGACCTTATCCTTACCTTTAGATAATGTAACATAAAGTATAATTAACTCACTTATTTAATAATTACATAATTTAAGCACTATAATTATTATATAACTGAGTTAACTATATTTTATCACATCAATCGAGGATTACCTCTCTAGAGATACTATAGTTATTCCCCAAAATAAATATCATGAGAAGATAGAAGTTAATTCATTGGTGCTAGATTAAGAAATAAAGGGAGGAGAAGCTTCCTCCTGTTTTTCCTGAGGAGGAATCTGGATGAAAATAAGGGAAGGAACTGAATCATCATCCTTTCTTTAAAAAGCTGTAACCTGAAAGTTCAGATTAAGAAATTAAGTTAGGAAATACAAACTATAAAGCTCAAATAAATAGTAGGAGTGCGATGAAGGGGGGGCAACAAACGGTTGTGAACTTGTGATTGTCAAATTATAGTCATCACCTTGCAAGAAATGGAGCAGTAGCGATATAAATCAGGTTCAGCCAACTTTCTAATGTAGATGTTGCATGTTGCCTCATTATTTAATGTTGAACCATAGCGTGGGAGAGGATTCTGAGAAATAATCAGTCGCTTGTTGCGTTTGTAGGGCTGCAACCATAGAGGAATAAAAATCCAGACACACAATAAAGACTTTGGTTGAGAAGAATCAATTTTCTAAACTCAATAGTTACATTTTTTCGGCATACAAAACTACACTAACGGGGCGTTTGGTTGAGGAGAAATTTTTTGAATACTATAAAAATGTAATTGATAGAGAAATGGTTACAAAGTGAGATAAAGTAAGATAGATAGGAAAATGTAAAAAAAGTTGTTAAAATTTTACTGGGAAAATTATGTAACTTTTAGAAAATCTATGTTTGGTTGGAGGTAAGATATAGATGGAAAAACAATCTTAAATTACAAAAGTAACCCTGATTTTAAATCTTTTTGACGGTGGCTGTATAAAAATTGCTTTTATACCTTTTATACTTTGAAATTCAATCAGATCCAAGACTGACGACCAGACATGGAGGTGGGCATATGCCAATTCGCATTGTAATGTCCCAGACTCTCAATCTTCCGGAGGGAGCAAACCTATGGGACATGTCTGAGGTTTCTACCATAGTTGTAACACAGAGGGGTGCAAGGAGGAGTTTCCAGAAGCTGCTTGCATCTAAAGGAGTTGAAGTTGTGGAGTTTGATATATTAAATGCCCGAGATGTTATGTAATATTTTCATGATCGTGAGTATCTTTCAATTTTATGGGAATGCGGAGGAACATTGGCTGCATCTGCTATTTTCATGATCGTAAGTATCTTTCAAATTTTTGAGAGGGTATAATGGTCGTTTTAGATATTGTCTACACAGTATCTTAGCCGGTTTTCACAAAAAAAAACCACCTCCAATTCATCTTTCTGAATAGTGACAAAAGCCATCATTCCACCGGCATATTCAAAATGCAATGCAATTAGGATTGATGGGGATTTAGACTGAATCTATGGAACCAAACGAGTGCTTTCCAGAATGCTTCCTTCGGATGCATAGAAAAGTTTGAAAAAGAACGCAACCTAAGGATAGTTGAGGTGTATTGAGACAAACACACCACTTAAAAAGACAGAGTTGATACTAGGTTGTCTAATTAACATTAAAGAATGCAAAATTTTGAACTAGTTTTTCCATCAGTAAATTTTGTAAAAAAAATAAAATTCACTTCAGTGTGTATCAATGCCTACGGTATCAACTAATTTGATGTGACATGTGAGTTTAGTTGCCTATCAAGTTAATCAAATTTATGCTATTTCATCTATTTAAACTGTTTCTGAAGGGGAGGGAAAAAAACACTATAATACCTTCTCGTTTTAAAATCATATAATTGAAATTGTACATTTACTGGTTTTGAAATTAAATTGAAGGAATCTAAATCAAGAACGAAATCATTTACAGGAATCTAAATTTTTGAGAGGGTATAATGGTCGTTTTAGATATTGTCTACACAGTATCTTAGCCGGTTTTCACAAAAAAAAACCACCTCCAATTCATCTTTCTGAATAGTGACAAAAGCCATCATTCCACCGGCATATTCAAAATGCAATGCAATTAGGATTGATGGGGATTTAGACTGAATCTATGGAACCAAACGAGTGCTTTCCAGAATGCTTCCTTCGGATGCATAGAAAAGTTTGAAAAAGAACGCAACCTAAGGATAGTTGAGGTGTATTGAGACAAACACACCACTTAGAAAGACAGAGTTGATACTAGGTTGTCTAATTAACATTAAAGAATGCAAAATTTTGAACTAGTTTTTCCATCAGTAAATTTTGTAAAAAAAATAAAATTCACTTCAGTGTGTATCAATGCCTACGGTATCAACTAATTTGATGTGACATGTGAGTTTAGTTGCCTATCAAGTTAATCAAATTTATGCTATTTCATCTATTTAAACTGTTTCTGAAGGGGAGGGAAAAAAACACTATAATACCTTCTCGTTTTAAAATCATATAATTGAAATTGTACATTTACTGGTTTTGAAATTAAATTGAAGGAATCTAAATCAAGAACGAAATCATTTACAGGTCAGGGAAATTCACGCTAAAATTGATGGCATCTTGCCGAGTAGAAGAATTGGTGCACCTGTGAAAAAATGGTAACCGAACATAATTTTTTTTTTTTTTTTAGTGTGGTAACCGAACATAACTTCTTTTGAAACAGAAAATGCAAAGGATGGGAAACCGACGAACGGTCACATTGGCTGCATTTACTTAGGGTTAAAGCATCAACGGTCTTAATTCTTTAATTCCATCACACCTTCACATTGGCTCCATTAATTAGGATTGTTGGTGGTTCACATTTTATTTTATGAGTAAATAACTTTTTTGGTCCCTCGCAATATTTATAAAATCTTTTTTAGTCCTGGCAATAAAAAGGATCAAATTGGTCCCTAAAATTATGAAAAAAGGACCACATTAGTCCTTATGTCAACTCCTTCGTCACTAACGTAGCCCTTTTTACATAATATTATTTTTTATTGCCAGGGACTAAAAAAATTTCGTAGATATTATCAGGGACCAAAAAAGATGTTTACTCTTATTTTATTTTTTTGGGAAAATAGTGGTGGTTCACTTTTATCCTTACTTCACTGTTTCGTCCACCATCAACGGTAACTTTTTATACACATTTAGAGCATTAAGCATACCCCAAGAACAACTTTTTGCTCACTTTAAGCCACCTTTCTCCTCGTTTCATAAAAAAGTTTCCCAAATTGATTCAAATAATAAATAAACTAATTAATAATACTCCTTATAGAATGACTTTAAACAAACCCATAAAAAACAGCGTCACCCTAGTAACTAAAATAAAGTAATAAATTTTACTAAAAAAAAAAGTAATAAAATATATCTTCATCACATAATCTGATCAGAAAACGACGGAAGTCGCCGGAAAAAGTTTGCCGGAATGGACGGCATGTCGTTCCTGAATCTCGGGTGGCGCAGGTAATAGAACCCAGCCCCCAACACAAATCCCTTAAACGGCACAGCATAGAATACCAACGACGCCACCAAAGACAGCATCGCAAATATCCCAGTAGCCCGTGGGTCCCGCCAACTAAACAGTGCTTCCAAGCGCTCTCCCTGCGCTGCCACGTCACCAAGCAGGGTCTGCGCCCTCCCCGCAAGCGCGCGCACCCTATCATACCTAATCCGGACCTGCTCCGCCGACCGTGTTGTCGGAAACCCATCGAACTCCTCGTCCAGCTCGTCGAGGCTCACCATGTCCACGTAAGACATCCTCGGATCCATGTTTTGTGGGACCCTCTGTCGGTAACGGAATCTCAACAGTAAAATCAAGAACACGTACATGAACACCGTTGGGAGCACAAGATATGGACACAGCACAATCGCCACGAGAAACACGTGCATCAAAATCGTCGTGGGAGGGTGCGCCCACGTGCGAATCCCATCCATCCAACGCAATAGCGTCGTCGCACGTGACAAACACCCCACCACCCTGAACCAGTTCGCCTTGCTCCGCCGCATGCTCCACACGTGCGTGTCAGAGTCCAGCATGAACTGAACCACTTCCTGACCCAAAGGCGGTTCAGACCTTGCGAGCCGAGCCGTCACTATCCTCATAGCCGTTTGACGTAAAATATCTTGTTGGGCCGGGCCGAATGGACGAACGCAGTGCATTCTTGGTAGAATTGGGCTTGCATAGGCCTGCATTAGACTCAACCACGAGGAGCATGAAAATCTCACTGCAATCTCTATCTCCCCCATTTTCCTGGCGCCACATGGCAGCAAGACAGTTAAGGAGTACGAATTTACGTACACCCGGTTGGTGTCCAGTGTGGACAACCGCACACGAATTTTCCCCATTCTAACGTCTCTGTTGTAGGGTTTTCCTTCTTCCCCGCGCTTGTATCTTCCGTTATCGAAAACGCCAATGGTGAGCACCGTGCAAGGGTCGTATACATCCCACGTGTACTGTTCGTTCCATCTCGGGTTGAACCGGTCCACGATGGTTCGGGTTCGGATCCATTTGGGTCCGTATTTGGCAACCACGTAGGCATCGGTGGTGCCACGTGTCCCATCCTTGGTCTTCACGGGAAGAAGGTTGGTGGCACTCCGAATCCCAACCTCGAGTAAACCGATTGGAGGCTTGGTGAGTTGTTTGGCCGCAGCTCTGACGTCACTTGTCACGTGAGCGGCTTCGTCTATCACGTGATACCCACCTTCCAAGCAAACTCGAACGTGGATTCTACCTGTGTATGAATGGTTCTCGTCTTCACCGGATAGGTTGAACCATCTTGACTTTAGATCCGTTCGATCGTCTGTTCTCCTCTCGATGGACGCCACGTGGATTTTAGCGTGGCCCACGGATTTATAATTTGACACGTCCTCCACTGTTACTACTAGAAACGGCTCAAACGGCTCAGCTGCTACGAATATGAGGTCCTCGTTCCATGTTGGGTTAGCCGAGCCTACTGAGGCTCTTCCTGTCTTGAAAACTTGCGCGCCGAGCTGAGCCTTAACATAAAGCTCAGGATTCCTTACCTTAGGCTCGGATACCGAACCTAGTTGCAAGTCCTGGGTTTGGATGACCGTTAGCCTCAGATACCAAAGCTTCGGAGAGAGATACACCTTGGCTCTTGTCTCCGGTATCAACCCCCCGGAATCTGACTGCCAAGCCTCCTGAAACGCTTCGTCAGCCTGAGTTCCGATCCACACGGCGAGCATGACGTCATTTCCCGGCGAGCTATCAGATTCTAAAGTGTACCACTGTGGAGCAAGAGAACTATCTGGTGGAACTCTCTTAGGTACCTCCTGCAAATCAAACGACACCGTACCGAGGGAAGTTTCAGTGCTCTGTTCTCCTTCTTTCTTATCCTCTGACCATACTGAAACCTCCAACGACGTCGAATTGAGACCTTCTTTGTCAAAGGCAAAAACCTGATCCCAATCTTTATTTTCGCTTTCGCTTTTCGTCTTAACACTGTGAGTTCCGATCACTAGCTTTGAGAAAGCCGTTGAACCTGGTTCTGATTTTGCTCGCTTGGCCTTCACAACGCGAACATAGAGAAACGCCATGCGATCCACGAGATCATAAGCACTGCGACTTCGATCGCTACTCAGAGATCTGAGTTCGCTGTCGCTTACGTTGAAATCAGCACGCTTTTGTATCTCGCCATGCTTTGCCTTCAGCTGTTTTGGCTTCTCCGTCTGAGCAATTGGAGGATTCTCTACCTCCGCCGGTGGACCTGGCGGCGCCACCGCAGCCTCAGCCGGAGCCTCCTCCTTTGGTTTTGCATTATCAGTGGATGACTTCTCTTCTTCTTTCGATTCTTTCGATTCTTCTTTAGGTTTATTCTCATCATCCTTCTTTTCCTCTTCTTTCTTCTCTTCTACTTTATCTTCCTTCTTCTCTCCGTCCTTTGAATTCTCCGGTGGCTTCTCCTCTGCCGGCGGCGGCGGCGCCTCTGTCTTCTGCTCACCGGCGGCCTCGGTGGCCGGTGGATCTTCATCTACGTAACAAACTTTGAGTCCAAGCTCTCCTTTGATCTGAGAGAACACGCTCCTTTTCTCCAACGGATAGTACACAATCGCTTCGGAACCGCACTTCACAAACGTGCTTCCTGATACTTTCACTTTACCAAGAAAGGTGCTTCGCTTCCCAGTCTTCTTATCGTTGTAGAGATTGACCTCTAGGGTTTCCGAAGCCATGGAATCTTTGTCGTGGACCATGAACTCGAGCCTCTCATCCCATTGAGGATTGAGATCTCTGGACTTGGTCTTGGTTCGCCGTCTCTGGCCATCGAAATCCACAATCGCATAAGCACTCGCGGTTCCTTGACCGTCCTTCGGCATCAAGTTCTTGGCGCTGCAAACCTCAACGATGAGCTTCCTTCCAGAACCTTCCGCCATTGATGAATCTTGAAGCTTTTGAGAGAAAGAAACAACAGAGATAAACAGAGCTTTTGTGTGAGTTAACTTAACAGGTTAGTGTGTGTTTTTTTCTGTTAGCTTTGGTGGAAGAATGTATGTTACACAAAGAGGGTCACGTTTTAAAGCGAAAGCGAGGAGCGTGGACACGTAAGACAGGATCTGCCACGTGGCGATATATTGGCGTGCGAGATTTTGGTTGGGACAAGCGAGATACTGAGATAGAGAGCGTCTGTGAGCTGAGCACCGTGCCGGGTGCTGCTGATGCTGCTACCTATCTGGGCATGGATTTTGGGGATATAACAATAGTGCCCTTAATAAATAAATGTCTATGTAAATGCGAAATAGAACTTTCGAGTAGTGTTTAGTTCGGGAAAAAAAAATTTACTAGAGAAATGTAATTGATAGGGAAATGGTTGGAAAGTGAGTTTGGTAGAAAAATGTAAAAAAAGTTGTTTGGTTGACCCAAATATTACCAGGGAAATTTATTTAAATATGCAAAATATATGTTCGAGAGAAATTTTGCACCTGTTTTTTCACTTCCCCAGTTATCTCAAAATATCACATCTCAAGTGGTATTCTGTAACAGTGAATTCCATCCAAAAATCAACACAAAAGTTATTTTTCCATCTATCCTATTTGCCTGGTATTTTTAAAAAAAACCTAAACCAAACGTGGTATTTTCCAATATCCACTTACATTTTTCCATCAATCCCAAAATAAACCTTCAATCAAAAGAATAATTGTTTTTTTCTTTTTGGGTGAAAAAATAATTTATTTTCTTGTGATCATGAAAAAAGCGTTTTGAGATGAAAATGCTTAATGCATTTGGTAAAAAAATAAATAATAATTGACTGCAGCAAGCACGCACTACTCATTTTTGTCCTTTTGCTTGCTTTTTTATTTTTTTGGGACTTTGTCACTTGTTTTTGTTGTCACTCTTCTTGAATCACTGGTTCTGGCTATAGTGCGCCACTTGTGGTTTAAAGCCTGCTACCCCATTCATTACCTAAAAAAGAAAAAAAAAACCCAACATTTCATTTATGTGAGGACGGTATAAACAATTTGTGTTAAACGGAGTTTGGGGTAATTTTAATGGGAAAGTATTTGTTTTTTTAAATGACATAATTTGTGTCATTTCACTCTTACAAAGAGCTGAGACTACATTTTTATTTTTATTTTGTCCACTCTCTTTTCATAATTTATCTCTTTCTCTCACTTAAAATGGCATAACTTTACATCTTTTAAAATGATACACACTTTTTTCAATTTTAATTTGGTTTACTAAAATATGGAGATTTTTATCACACTAGCATGTGCTTGTTTGGTGTGTGAGTCAGTGCAAATCAAAGTTAGGATATTGTGTTCAAATAATAATGTAGACAAAGATACTCATAAAATTCAGTTCTTATATATATGATGCTTTATTTATTGCACATCGATCTTTATCCTCTTTTGGGTTTTGTTTGGTTTTGCACACTGCCTTGTCTATTGTTTTCTTAATGATAAATGCCCACTTGCAGCTGCATTCTGCAAATATGAACGTTGCTTTGTTTCTGTGCTTCATGATAGTTTTCTCGACCAGGCAATATAGAGGAAAACATTAAAGAAAGAAGTTCTGAACTTTAATATGCTCGTCACACGTTGCTATTACATGTAGATAGTAATCACTATATGTACGGTACCGACAAGATGAATACTGGTAATATTCAATAGCATTGGCTAAACAAATTAAATGGAGTAGCAGGGTTAATGCTTTTCAAGTTGGGTTTAATTTAATGTTTAGGTGTAATTTTGGGGAGAGATGGAAAGCCTAAGAAATTGAGACGTTATTATTAATTTATTATAGTCACTATTTTTATATTTATTAGATAATAATTATTTTTTCAATCTAGATAATGAAAATATTGAAACTTAATGTAAAGAATCTTGGAATAACCTTGGGATACACCTCTCCAAAAGCTAGTTCAAAGGGTGGGAGTGTCCAAGGCCTTATAAACTCCACATTAGTTGTTCACACAACCAATGTGAGACTATATATCTCAACACGCCCCCTCACACAAGAGCTCATTGGGCTTGAAGAGTGGATGATGCAACCGGCCCAGCCTACCTGTGCTAAGAAATTTCACAAGAGAAAGTGGGGGGCGGCGAGATTTGAACCCCAAAAGTTAGCTCAAAGGGAGGGAGTGCCCAAGGCCTTATGAATGTCACATTAGTTGCTCATACAACCAATGTGACACTATATATCTATCTCAACACGCCCCCTCACACGAGAGCTCATTGGGCTTGAAAAGTGGATGATGCAACAGGCCCAGCCTACCTGTGCTAAAAAAATTCCACAAGAGAAAGTGGGGGGGGCGAGATTTGAACCCGGGACATGAGGCTCTGATACCATGTAAAGAACCTTGGGATACATCACTCCAAAAGCTAGCTCAAAGGGTGGGAGTGCCCAAGGCCTTATAAACTCCACATCAGTTGCTCATACAACCAATGTGAGACTATATATCTATCTTAACACCTAACTCACTCTGAAGAAATAATTAAGGTCAAAAAAAAAAAAATTGAACATTAATTTGTTAACTTCAAAACAATAACATTTTGATGAACTTGTTTTCTAAATTTTAATCTTAGCTCCCATAATTATAGTTTAAGTTAGTCGAGTGTCCTGCAACACGATATAATTTGTGTCATCTTGCAGACACACCAACAGTGGAGTCCACCTTTTATTTTAAAAAATTGAAAGTTAAAAAATAATGGCACGGGTTACTATGTCTTAGCAGGAAAAAAAAAACAAATATCGTGTAACATGATACTTGTCTTGTCCCTTTTACGGATAAACTCATTTATCTCCATTCGAGAGTTGTTCTTGTCGAAATTTATCCGATCTCAAAAATCCTTGTCAAATTTTAATGAGTAAATACCATTTTTAGTCCCTGGCAATATCCATGAAGCCCTTTTCAGTCCCTAGCAATAAAAAAGGGACAAATTGGTCCCTGAAATAACAAAAAAGAGGCCACGTTCATCCTTCCGTTAACTCCCACCTAACGGCCCAACTAATGGTGCACAGTTGGCACGTTAGTTTGCTGACGTGGCTTGGATGTGGGACACCGTGGAAGACGAGACGACGATGTTTTGGTCCCTGTCAAAATGCACGAGGACGTTTTTAGTCCCTGACAAAAAGTACGGGGCCCTTATTGGTCCCTAACCAGAGAAAAATAGGCACATGACTTCATTGCTTTTCTATGCAGTCCAATTTTGCAAAACTGAAGTGCATTACATCAGAAACAGGAGTGCAATCCAATTTTGCAAAACAGGAACATGACATTAAATTGGATTTGTATGCAGTCCAATTTGTTAAACCAGAAGACATGGATGTACAAGAACTACAACTACGTATATTAGTTAAAAAACATCAAAAATGGTAAACTTAAACATTCATCAACCCTGTGAAACATAATAGCTGGAACATGATTTGAGTATCATTATATTTGAAGACATGGATGTACAATAGTGCATTACAAAATAAAGCCAACTGCCAGGAATTAAAAGAAAGGCCTCTAATACAATATGGCCAGAATTTACAAAATAAACATTGACATAATAAGGCCTTCAAATACATAATGGCCAGAATTTTCAAAAAAAGTTAGTCACATAATAATAAACCCTTCTCAGTTGGCTTATGCACTACTCACAGGTCATATACAGCAGCAGGTCATTTTCTTAAGGCAGGCCTTGGTGGCCTAAAACCAGGTGTGCTCATGAAGGCCAATAATCTGCTTCGTGTGCCACGGGTTGTTGCATTCATTGTTTCATTACTCAATAGCTCATTTTCCTGTTGTGGATTTGATGGAGGTGGGCTGCTTCCTCTCAAGTTGCCTTCATGTGGCTGAGAACTACCAACTGCTGCAGTCCAGTCAACTGACATGCATTGCAATTATCAACAATCATTTACCTGGCTTCTTCTCTGATTTTTCTCTGTATTTAAATATCAACAATCATGCAATTATCTTTTATAGAAAAATAAATAGTATAATTGTAATGCTACACTACTGAAGATATTGTTCGTAAATCGCATAACGCTATGTCTTATACAGACTAAGAGAATTAAAGCAACTCATAGTATTCTAGGGATCGTAAAAGCTGTTTGCAAGAGCCAAGAATCCCTTTTAACAAAGTGGGAAGCTTAATTAGCATTGAAAAAGAAATGAATAATCGTTAATAAGGTCGAAACTTCAGTTAGAAACACAAACTTCATTGAAATAAAATGCCAATAAAGAGTATTTTACTTTGTGATGAAATTTAGTTTAATTACTTTGTGATGAACAAATGGATTGCACTCCTGTTTCTGATGTAATGCACTTCTGTTTTGCAAAATTGGATTGCATAGAAAAGCAATGAAGTCATGTGCCTATTTTTCTCTGGTTAGGGACTGTAAGAACCTGCACCGTTAATTAAGGAAATTAAGTAACTAGTTATGTTAAATTAGGAAATGATTCCATAATTGACCCTAATAATTATTAAGAGGCTTTAATAACTATGATAATTGATTAAGAATTCCGAAAGTCGTTTTTCGGAAGAAAAGTGCAGATACTGATTCTGCTAGTCGGTATAAATGCGTACCGAAAAAGTATCTCGAAAAATTATAATGAGTGCATGATAATTTCTAGAATAATTTATAGGACTTGTAAAACGAGTTTCTAGTTAAGATAATGAGAACTGGTGCCAGAAACTGATACTGGCTATGAAAAGCGCGTACCGGAAAGGTGCTCCGAAAAATATAATAAAAATATGATAATTCTTGTAAAATTAAGTAGGTTAAGAATCCAAAGTTTGGGATTAAAATACTAAGCGTAGCAATTAAAGTTAATACAGTGTGGTTAGTGTTAAGTGGACCTATATAAGCCTAAGGGCACAAAACCCTAGGCCATACTCAGCCTCTACGTGAGTCTTTTTGTTGATTTCTCTCCAGCCTTCTCTTCTCT